GAAATCTGAATAGCAGAGTTTATGGAGCAACTCCCATTGCCACCAGCATGGCATTCAAGTGTCTCCAAATATCTTGCTCCCAACAGTTACATGGTGAAAACTCAGGCTTTCAGGGCATTAACTCAGTCCAGTGAGAAGGTAGCAAAATACCTCAGGTGGATTATTGTGGGTGTTTCTAATTTTATAAGGATCAAGAGCCCACTGCCATAAACCTTCTATCCTAGTGTCAGCTAATTTCTGATGTGCCTGTGCCAGATCTCATCCTTTTGTTCATGGCTATTGGCTGAAAAGGGGTATTTGCTCATGAAGCTGCTGGATTTTACCTTTCTTCCAGCAAAGCATATGAAACTGCAGTTGATCTACAGTTCAGCTTTCAGTTACTCTTTCAGCTGTTCACCTCAATTTCTGTGTTTGACTTCTAGATCCTTAATTCAGCTCCCTTCCTTCTTCTTTTACTTGTCTTACAGCATTTGCCCAGATGAAGGAGAGACCAGAAAAACTGATAGTGAAAAGGAGCACCAGAAACGAGCCACCTCAGCTAGCCACACATGACTGTGCCTGTCATTCTCCACAGCTGGGGCTATCAGGAACAGGGGTGGGAAGTCATATACCTAAGGGCTGTCACTTCTCCATGCCCACCAAGGCTGGTCTCTGAACAAAAGCGCTTGCACTGCTGAAATTACTGTTGTCAGTTTCTCCTTCCCTCCTCTGCCTGCAAGTGTTTTGTCTCTAAGAGAATGTAACTTCCTCATGCAGAAGACTTCCGGTGCTACCCAGCTCCTGCACTCACTAGAAATTCTCTTGCCAGTTCTGCAGTATTGGATCTTGGCAGATGAGATTGGAGCATCGTCTGTATTTACTGTACATCTGGTAGACCAGACTGGCACCCAGGCATCAGAAGAAGGTGTATGTTTAGCCTGACTTTTACCTTGGGCCAAAGAACTCTGTACATAGAGAAGTATATAGACTAAGTCCTCTAGGAGAGATTCAATCAGTGACTAGAGAGCTATGTGAAGGAGTCTGAGGCCACACTGCTACATGCAACAGGGAGTGCTAGGATCGATTGATAATGTCTGCCGTGCTCATGGGAGCCGGGTGGGGCAATCCTTGAATTCTTTCTGGCATCTCTTCCTCAGTTGCATAATAGTGAGTTTGAAAAGTCTGCCAGACTGGGTACATTTTAAGTAAATCAGGTTTTATTTGCATAGTAGAAACAGGGTTCCTCCATTGGCAAAAAGAATTGAAGAGTAGGGGCCAACATCTCTAATCCAGACACTTTAATCACAGGCACAGGATCCAGTAGGTTAGGATTTGGCTCCATCAGCTTTTCTAGGTATGTGGGCGTGCAGGGGATTACAGCTAAATTCCAGGTGTGTGATGTTTCACTGGTCAAATAATGCCCCACTTTCAGAGCAGCATTGTTCAGTGTTTCTCAGCCACAGATCCAGGGCAAGTATATTTTATGTACACAGTGAGCCTACAGCATTGAACATATCTGCACACAGTAAGCTACTCTTATTTTAGCTCACATGCCCCAAAGTTTGCCTTGTGGCAGGAGCCTGCTGACAGTGGAGTACAACTCATACAGTCTTCTGACCCTTCCATCAGGAAATGGTCAGCCTGACTGCCCCAAGTGGGAGGAAAAAGACCACACGTTCTTACATAAATATTTTCGTTGTGATTAACTTTTAATGACTTGAGCCTGTATTTACTGGTTTGTTTTTATTTCTTCATGTGTGTCAGTAAAGAAGAGAGCAAGAGCTCTATAGGAGTGTTACTTAACTCAAAATTTCAAGTGAAATCAAGTGGTGACAAAGCTGTTACTTCTGTAAAAGTGGATTGCTTTCTTCACAATAATTTTGAGCATTTTTTTAATTCATTCACTTAACATTTAATGAATGCTGCTGTGTGCCCAGTGGTGCTGTGGGCACGGGGAAAGCTTCTATGAAACAAAAACCCAAAAATAACCTCTGCCACTAAGGAGTTTATTTTTCCCTCCATTATCCATAAAGGTGTAAAGAAGTAGTCATTTTTCACAGTACGTTTCTTTTTTTAATGAATTATGGAAGATTGTCTTTTGTTAGTTGGGTTAAATGTGGGATCCTATTTTTGAAGGGTTTCTGGTACAGGGTTTGTTTGATTTTGTTGGAAAGCTAGTTTCTAAGAAGAGTTTTCAGTGGTTTTAGGTTCTATTTCTCTTTCAAGCCTGTAAGGAAAAATGTTTTGCATTTCATGTTATTTTTCAACTGCCCCTTCCTGGCATGCCTGTTCTAAGAAAACATTCTGGGATGTATGTCAATCACATCCATGTAAGGGAAACAAATAGCTGTTATATACTGTTTGGAAGACATAGCTATAAATTATTTCTTCAACACAAATCAGGGTTTCTCAACAGTGGCACTATTAACAGTCAGAGTCAGGTAATTACTTACTAGGGGAGGCTATTCTGTGCAGTGTAGGGTGTTGAACAGTATCTCTGTCTTCTACCCATTAGGAACAAGTAGTAACACTACGCGTGTGTGCGCATGTGTGCACGCACGCACACACACACACACACACACACACTGCTGTTTTGACAACCCAAAATGTCTCCAGATAACTGGACATGGTGGTACACAGCTGAAACCACAGCAGTGTGGGAGGCTGAGGCAGGAGGATCACAAGAATGAGTCCAGCTGAGGAACTTAACAAGATCCTGTCTCAAAATTTTGAAAAAGAGGGTGGGAGGCTGGGGGTGTACTTATAGTTCAAAAACCCTGGATTCAGTCCCTTGTGCCACCACCACCACACCCCAAAAAAGTCTCCAGACATTGCCTAATATGTCTCTTGGCAGGGAGGGAATGACAAAGTCACCTTTAGCTGAGAATGATTGGTATAAATGATATGATTCTGTGGCCCAGGTCTTACATCTTCTGATTACAGCAGGTCAGTGACTCCCCTTCCCCACACGTGGTCTTCCTACATGCCCAGAGCAATTTTCCCTATAAAACAGTTACTGTAAAGCAAGCAAGATAATTATCAGTCTGATGAAGCAACGTCAACAAGAAATGATGAAATACCTTAGAGACATTTTGCATTTCCTGTTGGAAACTTGTTAAAATTGTTCATTTACCATAAGCTCAAAAGCGTGTTGGATGCAGTCTATAGTAAGTTATTCTCAAATGAGAAAATGAGTTCCAGATTTGGTGATCTCAGTCCAAGCAGGAGGCAGCTCATTCCCAGACATTCCCATCCTTGTGAGCATGCACTGTGTTCAATAAGCATGCGCTGAAAATGTACTCAAGGTCTGTAGACTGGTCTGATCCTTGTTTCCACGACCTGGTGTGGTGGAACAGCAGTGCTCCAAGGAACACCCAGCCTCCACATGAGTTTGCAAGGCAGAAAAGCAAATGCTTGCCTTTTCCTTCACTGCCTTCAAGCTTCTTCCTGTCCTTTGCCAGCTCTTCCCTTCCTAGGCAATACGTGTCATTATACATGATGTCATGTGTTTCTTGCTTGATTCTTTGGTCCCAAATGGGCTGCTTTTCAGAGTTTTGGCAGGGATGTGTACGGTGAGTCCTACCTACTCCCTATCAGCTTGCCATCCAAATTGGTGTCATTTAACCGCCTTGCCTTGTAGTTCTCACTTCTCAGATACATGCCAATAGATGAGAAAATGTAGGGCACACTGCTGATAAAGTCACTGGAAAAAGGATTGCCTTGGGACAGAGAGAAATAAAAGGTGAAAGAGAAGTACAGTGAGCTACAGAATCTTCACTCATTGCATTATTTATTGAGCATCTACTGTGTTCCAGGCACTGGCAATGTGTCTGTGAGGAAATAAACAAGATCTTGCTTTTCTGGAACCCACAGTCCTTTGGGTAATTGGACAAGTGTTTGAATCTGTAACCATTGGTGCTTAAGGAGGGAAATCTGGACACATGGGAGTGTTTAGAAAAGGTACTACCCCACCAGAAGGAATCAGAGAAGGCTTTGTAGAGGAAGTGGTCTCTTAACAGGATTTGCAAGACTCACTCTTTTTTCAAAGAGGTGGGAGAAAGGCTATGTCCCAAGGCCTAAAGGTGAGTGGGAAAACACAGAATCTTAGAGAAACTAAAGAGTTAGGCATGTTGGAATAGTACCCTATGAGCCAGGAAGAGTAAGACGAAAACAGAGAGGAGGGACGAGGCTGCTTCTCAAGATTGTGGCTTGAGCATCTGGATCCTTGGGGTACTGATTACTGGGATGAGGAGCCCAGGGGAAAGAGGGTGAGGTGGCAGCGACTTGAGTTTTTAATCCACCCGTAGCTCCAGAACACAGAAATGATTTTTGAAAAATATTTTTGAAGAATATCAAAAGCTAATGGAAATTTGAAAAGTTAATTAGCAGCTCTAAGTGATTTTCTTATTGTGGGCCATCAGGACATCCTGCAAATATACTTGGACCTCTGAGGTTCTGCCAATTTCATTTCCCACTTGGTAGCTAGTTGTTTTGTCCCTGAAGAATGGACAAAAAAAACCAGAATGGATAACCAGGCGTGTCGGGTGAGTTGTTTGGGGCTATATTCTGGCTTTTCCAGCACTCCTTTAGATTTTCTTGGACATGATGGAAGTTTTTATTCTAGTATTGCAGACTTGTTTCATAGACATTTTTTACATTTTGAGATGACAAAAGAAAGCACAATGAACATTACTGGAGTATTCGTCGGTAGGTGTGTATTGTTAACAGAATTTTAAGAGGTGCAGACCTCACTTGAGGAAAATTACTGTGTGGGGAACATTGTTATCTATTATGACACCATCATGCAGAGCATATGGAGAACAAAATGTGGTTGGGAGTCAGGAGAACTGAGATTCATTCCTCTGGCCATCTACCCTAGACCCTACAGTGCCTTTCTTCATGTTTCCCACAGGCCTGAAATACTCAAGGGCACACTTGACAAATTACTTCTCTATAGTAGCAAAGCAACCCCACATAAGGGAGCATCCAACTTCATGTGGTCTCTTTTTTATTTTCTGCAGGAATTTAGATAATGGGCTGTGTGCAATGTAAGGACAAAGAAGCAACAAAACTGACGGAGGAGCGGGATGGCAGCCTGAACCAGAGCTCCGGGTACCGCTATGGCACAGACCCCACTCCGCAGCACTACCCCAGCTTCGGTGTGACCTCCATCCCAAACTACAACAATTTCCATGCAGCCGGGGGCCAAGGGCTTACTGTCTTCGGAGGTGTGAACTCCTCGTCTCACACTGGGACCTTGCGTACAAGAGGAGGCACAGGTAAGGTCCCGGTGTCAGATCATTGGTCCGGAGGGCTGCAGGTAGGGAGGGTGTGGCTGCTTTTAATGCTGCAGGAAACTGTACACTTGTGTTTTGGTCTGTACCCTTTGACCAGGGTTTTAACTTGGAAGTCTTTAGTCAGTTTCTACCTGTTCTCTACCAATGAGAGTCCATTTAAAAACAAAAACAAAGCTTGATATAAATAAATAAGTGCTTGGCTACAGGGGCAGCAGGGACCCCACGTCACTTCTCTGTGAGGATTCTTCATGTTAGTGAGCTGCAGCAGTGGAGGCATCAAAGGCCAGGCACTCTCAGAGTGACTAGGGCAGCTTGTTCATAGTACTCATCCCAATCTTTTGAATTGAGAAGCTCCTGGAGTGCCTCTAGGTGTATTTTGAATTCTCCAGATACAAATACACTGCGCTTTACCTCCCATCACTACTTCCTGGGAGGGAGTGCCTTCCCTCTCTTCCTAATCTTTAGCTTGCCTATCTCTTCCTGGCCAGTGGGGTCATTTGAAAACATGCTTTGACCATTTCTCACCTAATATTTCTGTTACCTTCCATATGACTGAGATTCTCTGCCCTCAAGTTTTCTATGCATCCTTTTTATTTTATTCTTTTTGTGTGTGTGTGTGTGTGTGTGTGTGTGTGTGTGTGTGTGTACACATACATACATACATACATATTCATGGAGTTTGAGGCAGGCTTTCACTATGTAGTTCAGACTGGCCTTGAACTTAGTAGGTAGCCCAGGCTGGCTTCAAACTCATGGCAATCCTCCTGCCTTAGCCTCCCAAGTGCTGAGATTATGGCATGCACCACCATGCCCAGCTAAGGGTATATTTTAAAGTTGAGTCCTATGTATGCTTGAGAGACCATTTTCTTGGGGTTTTTGTTGTTGTTGTTGTTTGTTTATTTGTTTTCTGGTGTTTCCTTGTCTTTTATACTACAAGGCTTTAATTTACTGCCATGTGTATTTGCTGACTTAGCTAATACTTCATAAAAAAAAATCTAGCATACGTTCTCAGACATATGTTTTCCAAAATATTTGTGAGTTATCTCATGCATTCTTCATCTTCCAAGTCCTTTCCCAATATGTGAACCACAGTAACTAGATATTTGACATTGTTTATTCCAAAGCTGTTTCATTACAAAAGTTTAAAAGAATGTAGTGTCTCTTGGCTTATTTAGGAACAGATGTCTTATGTCTTACATAATAACTCATAGGACTTTTTTACCTGAGGAACCAGTACTTCTGAAGCATTATCCAGCTTTCCCCACATGTACCCCACACATAGCAGTGTGGCTGTGTGAGGGGCCTGACCCACACCTTTTCCCTCTGTCTTCTCCTATATTGCCATATTCTTCTTTGCCCAGTAGGAAAAACATCTTACCTTTGTGCTATGGTGACTGTAGTTGGCCCTTGCTTCTAGGCCTAGTACGCCATGCTTACCTGTCCTTCCTGCCTTCCTAGAAGGTACCTGAAAGGCCTTCTAGAGCCCTCTATCTCTCATGGATGCAGGAAAGTACACCCAGCACACATGCACACACATACAGACATCTCCACTGAGAGAAGCGTGAGGGCTTTGCAGCCTGGACTCTTAATTCTGCTGACATGGGCGTTTTCCCCATTCATTGATTCATGAAGACTGGATGTGAATCCCTGGTCTTCAGGAATCCTTCATTAAGGTAACTGGAACCTGTAGGTGTGCACTATAGTCAGGGACAGTCCTAGTTAAAGCACAGTATCCCTAGATATTGGCAGATTTTCCTGTCTTTCATTATTTGGTTTTATTATATATGAATGTCGTTTCTCTCAGTGCTGCTTGTAGTCCCTTACAGCCAAAATGCAACTATATCTGCACTTCTCTGTGACCACCATGATTTCCTCCTCCTAGGACATAAGAACTCTCAGTGAGGACTTGTCAGCAGATGCAGGAAAAATGTGAGGCTGTCTATCTACATGTACCATTTCTTCCTCACTGTGGAACTGGCTTAGCTGTTTTAAAATGGTACGATGGAGGAAATCTGCTAATAGAGTATTAAATCAGAATACATACAACTTAGAGGTACCCAGTTTTTTAAACCAGTGCCTTTTCTAACCTCTCCAAGAAATCTAAAAGGCAGAGAATTGCCCCTCTGCATTGTCAGGCCCACTGAGTGCCCGCTCTCCTACCCTCTTTGGGATAGGGTGCTCCTCTCTGGCTTTTAGTCCCATAGGCACATCTGTTCCTGTAGACCTATGTACCCAGCTCTAGGGCAGCTTGGAAGAAGGGTAAGCTGCATACTCTTAGTCCCTCTCAGGCACTTGAAGTGTGTGAAGATCAAAATGAGAAGCCAGGTTGCAGACAGTGAAATTTTCTAGTTATCAGTTCCTGTATAACCAACTGTCATAAAAACAGAGCCACTTAAAACAACACACATTTACTTTACACAGCTTTTGTGGGTTGGAAATCTAGGAATGACTGAGCAGGGTCTTTTGCCTCAGGGTCCCTCACAGGCTGTGGCCCAGGTGTGTTGGCCAGGCTGTGGTCATCTCACGGCTCAGCTGGGATTCATTTGCCTCCAGGCTCATGCGGTGTTGGCAGGATTCAGCTCCTTGCTGGTTCTTTGTCACATGGGCCTTGCCAACGTGGCACTTCGTGTCATCAAAGTATGCAAGCTGACAGAGCAATAGAGTCTGCCAAGTGGTAAGAAGTCACCGTCTCCTGAAACCCAATCCTGAAGGGCATCACCTTTGCACATTCTGTTGGTTAGAAGCGAGTCACTAGGTCAGCCCATTCTCTCAAGGGAAGAAGATTGCAGGAAGGCAAGAACACCAGAGCCAGTCCTGAGAGCACCCTTAGAATCCTATTGTAGGAACGAGTTCTGGGTCGAATGCGACTCAGGACAATTTTTACTATTGATAGCAAATTTGTGTGAAGCAGCAAGGGCCCCTGGGGCAAGTCAGCTAGCCGAGAAGACATAGGATGAGTATGAGGAAGAATGAGTTCTATAAGATAGTGCAAAGAGAGGTGAATTCAAATTAGGAAAATGGAGAATTCCATTGTCAGCAATAGGAATAAATAGCTAAAAATGACAAAAGCAATGACAGACGCCACAGGCATTGCATCCTCCAGTTGGGGAGAACTTTACAGAAGGCGTCTTCTCTAGGTTGCCCACACTGTAGAAAGTTTCCTGTTACTTTGTGCATTACTGCTGTATCAGGGGAAAGAGCAATCCATCTTGCCTGGAACTTCATTCACATGGGCTCCCAAGTGGAAGAAAATGTGTCTGAACCCCACCGCTGTGCTGCCCCCTGCCGCTCCCGTTTTGAACATGATGTCCATATGTCTTTTCCTCGGGACTCTCAAAGGTATACCTGAGAAGTCCTTCAACTTCAGGTTTTTATCAGGTCAAACGGCTCCCTTATAGAGACCAAGGCATAAATTCAGCCCTGCCACTGGTTTTCCCACATTCATTACACTTCATAAAATTGCTAGTGCAGTCCGTAGGTTTTGCGCATGAGGTTTTTGTGAAGATGCAGTTTTTTGGAATTCATTTCCCCTTGTGTGATAATCACTTTCCTTGTCTTGTCAGGAGTGACACTTTTCGTGGCTCTTTATGACTATGAAGCACGGACAGAAGATGACTTGAGCTTTCACAAAGGAGAAAAATTTCAAATATTAAATAGCTCGTAAGTATGGGAAGGGAGGGGGTAAAATACAAGCCTTTCAATTGGGAAAACATTCTGCATCTCAGATACCTGAAATGTTAAGAGGTTTGCTAATTCACTGGTCCGTGACATAATTTGAGGGCAGAGTCAGTGGTATAGTGTAGGATCATATGGAACTGTGTGCCACAGGGCTTGTTAGAGGATGCTATAGTAGCACAGTCTGTGTTTTTAGGTTTGGATTTTAGTTTAAAGGTTGTAAAAGCACCAGCACTACCCTCCACAGCACCTGGCATTTCCACAAATCTACACTTAACTGATGGGCATGGCTGCCCACGTCGCATGATTTCTGCCTTGAGATTTTTCTGTATCCTTTGAATGTTGTACCAGCTAAGCCCTCTCTTCAAGCCAGCAACAAGTTCCTTCTGTTTTCACAACTGCTAAACATTCCGTGGCTGAAACCTATGGAGGCGTTTCTCTGTAAGGAAATTTTCAGAGGAATTAAATCTCTGTGAGAAGAAAGAAGAAGCCGTTTCACCCACTCATGAATGACTACAATGCAGGCATTTTAAATGTGGCTACTCCGGGCAACAATTAAACAGCAAGTCACTCACTGTTCAAGTTCTACCTCCATAAGTAAGAGAATATGGGTTGGATTTTTCCGTGGTATTTAACTATTTTCTCTTTAGACTGAGCCAGTGCACATGCATGAGTGCCCTCCAGAAAAATCTAGGCTCCCAAGCAAGCTCGGCTTTCTGTGTCCACGTGAGTTTTGCCCGGTGAAGGGGAAAGAATGCTTCTGGCTGCTGAGAGCATATTGGGAGGGTCTGCTGTGCTGCCACATCTGGTTTCTTCTCCTCCGCTCTCTGAGCAAAATGGATTGTGTGGTGATGAAAGACTTAAAGACTGGCTGTTTAGCTTTCCCAAAAAGATGAGCCCCGAGAGGTCTCTGCACACAGCATCCATAATCTGTGAGAGAAGAGGCCACTCGCAACAAGGAACTTGGGTTCCCTTAGAAACCACCTCCTTGGGGCTGCTTCCTGGGAGGGTGCCCTCAGCTCACAGGACCACACACCCAGAACAGGCTGCCTTCAACAGCAAGACCTGAGTACTGTACCATGACAAGCCGATATTCTTACAGACATCAGAAGATGCTGTCTACATAGCCAGCAGGCTTTGTTTTCAGTTTGTTTGTTTGTTTGTTTTTTTAATTAACTATTACTGTCTTCACTAACAAAGGTGTGGTTGGGTCTTCTAAATTGTTTTAAATACACGCAGAAAAGTGCACCTATTAACAATGTGCTGAGTGGTTCCAGCGCCTGCCTCACAAGCACAAGGACCTGAGTTCGATCCCCAGTACCAAAACAAAAACACACAAAAAAACAAAAACAATGTGCATAGCAATGACTGTACAACAGTGTGAATGTATTTACTGCCAGGCACATTTACTCTTAACAGTGGTTAAAATGGTTACATACACTCTACCACAATTTTTAAAAAGCATACAGTTTACTGAATTTTCGCACACTGAATGTGCCTGTGCAACCAATGGCCAGAACAAGGAGGGTACCTAGCCTCCCCCACCCTTGGAGACGTCTGACAGCTACAGGAATTTTTTAAAAATAGTAAACAGCTGCCATTTATTGAAGGCTGCTGATGTAGCAGCCATGTGCTCAGTTACAAAAGCTCTGGTTGCCTCTTCACAACAGCTGTCTGAGGTATGTGTCACAGTCTTCCTTGGACATCTGATGGGAGCTGCCTGTGTGCCCTGAGCTGGCAGGTGCAGAGCCCAGGCCGAGATGTGAGGGTCAGGATCCTGAGCATAGATAGTGTCAGGTGTGACCTTGGAAAGGCCCAGACACCACCTCGGAGACAACTGAGACATTCGAGTTACATGAAGACTTGGACAGTTGGCCGGCTGGACAATTGGCCATGAGGAGGAAAGAATTTTGCTTTGATCTTTTCTGGTTTATGAGTCTTTATTATCAGTTTGATTTTCAGACAATCGCTCATTGTCGGTCTGTTAACTTTGCATGCTGAAATACATTTCCCCCATCCAGTCTATACCGCATTCTGCTAATAGGGGATGGATCTGTGCTCAGGTTGTAGGTCCCTGGGAAAATCAGCTCCTACTGAAATCACCTTTGTGACTTCTGTCTTCCTTTGTTAGTCTGGAAAGGATCTACTTTAGTGTGTCGAGCTGAATCTTGGAGAAACATTAAGGGAAGGACTGGTCTATCCCAGTGTATATATTATTTTGTGATTTGTGCACCTGGCCTTTCATGTTTACCGAGAGCTTTGAGCCTCTGACCTTCTTGTTTGCCTTGGAAGAAAACATAACAAAAGGTTTTTCCCTCTTAATGCTTTTCCTTCTTGCCAGTGGAATTCTTTATCTTATGTGCCATTCGAATGCCCTTTTTCAAGGTTATGGAAGGGAAAAATAAGATTTGTGTGACAGATACAATATCCTGAAGGCAAGGGTAATAACAGGGAAGAGAAAGTGGTGAAGGAAAAACAAAGCACTAACACAGAAGCAGATGGCAGGCTGCTCCCCCCTCCCCCAGCCTCCCCAGCCTCCCCAGCCTCCCCAGTCTCCGTCTCTCAGGGGTGGGGCTCTGTTCCCCCTGGGGCAGCTGCCACACCCCTAGTGTGTGTCCTCCACTCCTTTCTCCGTTGGAGGCCCTGGGCTTTTTGTTTCAAAGTGAGGCATCCACTCTGGGCTAGAGGTGCACAAATGTGTCCAGAGGCAGAGGCCCCGATGCTCAGCAGGGCTCCCTGGGAGCTCAGTGTAGTGTGTCTTCGGGGCATTATTCAGCTTGTTACAAAATGCTTAAGTTCCTCCATTTTTGCCCCCGTTTTCACTTTTCCTGAGCAGTGATTTACTATCTCAAAACAGTGACTCTTCAGTAAATATACTGAGTGGAGTAGTGATCATTGCTTAGGAAACAGTTTAGAGTTATTTTATTGTTACAGATATGTTCTCTGAAAATAAGATGGGCAGTGACCAAATTTAAAAGAAATCCATCCAGTGCTAATAAAGCTGCTCAAACGATAATAAAAATGCACTGTGGCTGGGTAGATCAAGACTGACTTCTGCTGGCAAAGGCTACTTCTTAGCTCCTCCCAGGGGTCCAGGGTATCTGGGATCCCAGCTGCTGAGACCACACACCCTGTGAGTGACTTTGGGGATCAGAGGCAGGCTTTTTAAATAAGTCTTTAAGTTAGAGGATGAGGAGAAGCTATTATAAAAACTTAAAAGCCGTTCTACACCAACACCAAGGTTTAAATCATACATTGGAATCAGATTAGCATAAAAATTAAATATCCACCAAATGTGAATTAATCTGATCTGTAAGAGTAATTTAAAGAAGTGCAGCTTTAATAACGCTAGTTACCTACAATAATTCAAGTAAAACAACAAAAGGTAGCTTATGAGAGATCCTGATCTCCTAAACCAGTGATACTTGTAGGGTGTTTTATTTATTTGTAGGTGAGTTGGTGATTATAGTATGTTAAAAAGATTTGTTCACTTGCTCAGTTATTTCTGATAGGTGTTTTATCGGTACCAGCCTCTCTGGGCCCAATGTGAGTAAATTGTGAGATAAATGTAGTAATATATGATGTTTACCACTAACTCATTGAGTGCCTCCTTGTGTCTCCTTTCATGGAAAAAGTGACCTGAATTGCCTAGAAAAAGAGAAATCAAAGCCGGATATTTAGATCAGTGGTTCTGTCACCTGCCTCGCAAGCACAAGGACCCGCGTTCTATCCCTGGTACCAAAAAAAAAAAAAAAAAAAAAAAAAAAAAAAAAAAAAAAAAAAAAAAAAAAAAAAAAAAGAGAGAGAGAGAGAGAGAAATCAAGGATGATACCTTTCTTAGGAGTAACTGGAAACTCTTGGAAGATTAGTGGGTTTACATAAGAAAGTTATAAACTCTTCATACCTGACTTTAGGACAAGCCAAAAGTTAGATTCTAATCTGTACTGAGATAGCTAATGCTGAATTTAAATCTGAAATTATTTTCTGCAAACATTTTGGCTTCCTGCTCCTATTAACATTCCCACACCCCCTGAAATTTATGCTAGCCATGCTTTTTCTCAGTTTAATTCAATTAGAACTAACTTGATGAAGGTTTTCATGCATTAATAAGCCTGTGCTACCAGCATTTACGCCATTTTGGAGCGTTTCCCGGTTAGGGGATTGAGGGAGGTGGGTATTGTTATTTTCTGTGATGAAATGTCTCCATCTAGTGGAGTGTCAGAGTAATAAACATTGTCCCTGTAAAGTTCTGTCTCCAAATCCATTTCCTTGAATGTGTAATTCTAAACAAAGAAAGTAAATTCGTGTATGTGGTCTTAAGAGTATATAGATTTACAACTTAATGTATTTCTTTTGGGGTGCATAGAAATGGGACCAGTGGAAACTGAATTTAAGCTTAAGATTTACAGATTTTATAAGAACAATTATGTCTCTCTTTTGATTGACCTCTTTATTTAATAGGCTAAAAAAGGAGTGACTGAAAAACTAAACATAAGTTTTTAAAAATCTCTACCGACACAATGCTTTCTGTGAGGTATTCTGCTGTTTACGCCAGCGAGTCCATCCCCTAACTGTACTCACAGTGGCTTGTCACCACTGTGCCAAGGCTTTTAAGGCCTACATGACGTCTTGCTCAGTGGACACCTTGTTCAGAGGTGCCATCTTAGGGAACACCAAAGGAAGGCCCAGCTATAAGGAGGACCGTTTCCCATCCCATAGCCCACATATTTTCTACCCACCTTGGACAGAGTCCAGCCAAAAAAAAAGTCATTTTAAAAAGGGTGAGAGGTTTTGCTTAGATTTCTTGCCATTTTCAAGGACCCCAAAAAAAAAAACGGAAAAGAAGGTACCGGGCCTGTGGTAGTCAGTGTCTAAGGTCTCTTGTGCTGGAGGGCAGTCACCTCGCTCCTGGCTGCAGAAGGAGGGATATGCAGCCCAAGCCACAGCTATAGCCCCCACACATGGGCCATGGCCTGTCACCCTCTTGTTAATGAAAAGTGGCACACGCTCCTCCTTGCTCTTTGTCACACTCAAACCTGCATGAACTTACGGTGTTTCAATTACTTAGTGATTTAAGCTAAGAGTAGTGTTAGAAGCCCCTCTTTCACATCTTCAGAAGACTCTCCAGAATGAGACTGCACTGTGACAGGGAACGTGACTGAAAAATCTCATGCCCTGTGCCCACCTTCCATCCCTCTCTTCCCCATGAGACACAAACAGGGCAGTGTTAAGAATGTTTGATGGAAAAACCTCAGACTGAAAATGCCCAACGAAGTCCTGTCCTACTATAGTCTTGAAAATCCCGCGTGTCCCCCCACTTGCATGAGTATTCAGAGTATGCATCCGTCCTCACCAGGCCTCCTAACAGCATCCCTCCCCAGAATACCTGCAGTCATGATGGTTCTCTAAAGGAAGCTGAGCTTGGGCTCCTTTCCTAGATGCCCGAGTCTGCCCCTTACCAGGCAGAATGCCTTCTCAACAAGAAAACCTGCTCCTGACCAAAGCACCAGATTTCACGCAAGGTAGGAGGCAACACTGGGTTCAGCTCATGAGTGACTTCACTTGTAGACAGACCATCCAGGTTGCACAGGCAGGGGCAGGGATGTGTCAGAGTTTACAGGAAAGGAGCAGCCGAGGGACAGAATAACTTTTCATGGCATCGAGTCCAGCTATCGATACTGAAATGGAAAACTTAACATCTTCTTCTTTTCTTTCCAGGGAAGGAGACTGGTGGGAAGCCCGCTCCTTGACAACTGGAGAGACAGGTTACATTCCCAGCAATTATGTGGCACCAGTTGACTCTATACAGGCAGAGGAGTATGTTTTATTTTGTTGTTTTCACTTAAGTGCATGCTTTCAAAAGTTAGTTGCCTGAGTAAAATGCCATTAATGTTAAGCAAAAGGGAGAAGAATTTAACTCATGTTAAGAAATTGCTAGTTAGGAGGGTATGATAATTCTGAGTTTCCCAGGTTTTATACCTTGATTTTTGTTATGTTTCTGCAGTGTTTGTGATGTTACTAACTGAATGTTTCCCTCTAAGTCTGCTGACTTTTTAATTTATATTTATTTTGAAAGGAAACTTTGAATAAGTATCTTAATGAAACAGTATAACTTGTTATAGATTAAAAGATACTCATAAGAATATGGCGAAATTCTCACTACTACATATATTATTGACAGCCCCAGATTTCCCAAATAAAGGAAATCGACCTCTTTCCTGACACCTCATGGACTTTCCACACCAGAAAAGGGGTAGAAAAAGTCAGCCACCGAGCCCAACCTTTGGCTGTGTTATTTAATTTTGCCATGGATTTGTTTAAGTGCTGCGAGGAGGATTAGACTACATATTCCCGACCGTATTATTCTCTCATCTTTAATTCCTTTGTATTTCTTCTCCTAAGAAGATGTGTTTTGTTTCCCCTCTCAAATACTCAGTGGTTCTAACCTAGTTTTTTTTTTTTCCTTTCCTTCTAGTAAATGTATTTCATCATCAGTGAGAAAGGGTGTTTGTATCGAATTTATATTTTAGGACAGATTTGTAAATATCTATGATCTTTCAAAATAAAAATCCTGGGCCAGGGATTTAGCTCAGCAGTTCAGTGGCCTGCCTTGCAAACGCAAGGACCCGAGTTCAATCCCCGGTACCCAAAAATAAAAATAAAAATCCCATCAACATGTAGCATTACTTTGACTTAAACTAGGAATCTACTCACTGTATATTTCAATTTTATATATAGTGATCAGTTTTTTATTTTGTTTTAAAAGAATGAAATACTTTTAAATAGTCCTATAATTTTACATATGAAGTCAATTAGTGTTATCTTAAAATGCTACTGTTTTTAGTGTAATCCATTGTTACAAAAAGTCCCTTTTCACCCTTGTTTTTATACAACATTTTAATTGAATTATCGATATAAACGCAGAAAGACATTTCTCACAAATAATTCGTGTAATATTCTTTGTATTGATAGTGCCAGATTAGGGCTTGTGACACATTTTGGTTTCTATGAAATTATTGAAAAGCTAATGTGTGCTATCTATTCTTATCTTCATTGAAAGTCTCTCATTCACAAGGACTTTGACAGTGAACACATAATAGCTGTGTTTACATGTAATGAATTGAAACTTCATTTTAGAATCTGGATCCTTTCTGAATTCAGTACTCTAAAAATGTTTCCTACGCAGATTCCGATGGAAGTGGATTCTTGGTGCACCTGCTGCTCATTCAGCACCTAGTACAGAAGTGTAAACTAGATGCCAGGGGACTGGGCTTGCCAGAACAGAGAGAAGATAAAAGACAGCAACAGTTTTAAAGAGATGCTTCCTAGTGGCACAAAGTATCATTAATTTGTTCCAAGCAAATATTAAAAACCTACACCACCATGTCATTCTGAGGGACATGCTCATTGACTGCAAGATCTGAAACATGCGCAGGAAACAGTCCCTGCAGCTGTGCCAGAAAAGCCAGGTGCTTGGGAAACGCCTTCTTTCTTATCCAATTCCGCACACCTGCTGGATAGATAAAGTCAAAACAAGCGTCCAAAGGTAGTCATCAAATCAAGGTAGACTTGATAAATTTTTCAGAGTTCCAGTAGGTAGGAGTATACTGAAGATGTCATCCATCTTTATTCCTTATCCATTCTGAATGATTTCTATTTCTTTTAAAGCTTGATTCTCCACACTAAAACTCTTTTCTGTTTCCTGGGGATTGTAATTATGCTCAGAAACCAAGGGTCTTGTAGATGAGATACGAAACATCTCCTGTACGTGCCATTTCAAAACAAAATCTTCAATTTCATTGTGCATGCAGGTGGCAGTTCTGACACAAGCCAGTTCTGTCATCCTGGGAAGAAGAAAAACAACCCACAATTCAAACCTTACTTCTCTTCAGAATGAGAGAGATGGAGTAGGTATAGAAGCAGGGATAGATTGAAAGAGAACTGAATGAAGCTAGAAAAATATATATACATATCAGGAAAGGCTGAGGGAAGACTCAGAGATGAGGAGACTCGTGGGCAGAAAAGACTGTGTTTTCCGTTATGTCGATGATCATCGTAATTTCCTTTCCTTGAACTCATTTAAAGGTGGTACTTTGGAAAACTTGGCCGCAAAGATGCCGAGCGACAGCTTCTGTCCTTTGGAAACCCAAGAGGTACCTTTCTTATCCGTGAGAGCGAAACCACCAAAGGTAAGATAAGGACTTGAAGAAGTTGGCTTGTCATTCAGATCTGTGGATTAGTGAGAGGGGGTGAAAGGCTTAGCTCTGATGTACAAACATTTTACAATGGCACATCTCCTCCCTGCCTTGTGAGTGGAGTTCTGTTTTCATTTTCCCCTTGAGGCTCTACAGAAGCTCAAAATTGAGATTTCCTCCTGCAGTGGGCACAGGGCAGACCCCCTTCCCCTCCCTGATACACAGATCAGTTTCAGAAGTTCTTTAAAGTTAGGATTTTTTGAAGTTCTTAGTTCCTCAGGTGCAAGTCATACAGGTTGTTTTGTTTTCATTTTGTTTTGCTTTTTTAGTAACTGAGGACCGTCTCTCTACCTTGCTGTTATGTAACAACTTGTTAAAGTCCAGAAGAGGAGATAGGTCAAGGCGGGGAAAGTGAGCTGGCGTCCTGACTTGAATGTCAGACCCTGATTATGCCCGTACAGAGTTATGCAGCAGAACTGTGAAGCTCACACTAGAGATTGCCCATGGATTTCTTTTGTACAGGCTGCTAGCCCTGTCTCCCCCATCCCCAGGGAGACGTACCCAGGGAGGCACTCCAGTTAACTGGAGTCGGGATTTCTCTTGATCTTCTCCTGCAGGAATTGCGTCCATGCTGTATTAGGCAATACAAAGGTACCAAAGAGAGGATGTTAGAAAAATAGCTGAGAAGCCTCCTGTCTCAAGGGCAGAATTATTTTGTTGCTAAAAAAAATAGTGATGGAGTCAGTGTGTGAGTATGTGTGTGTACATGATCGTTATTTAATCAGTGTAGTCAAGTGAAGGAGACCTAAAAGATGATCTAACTAATAGTCAAAATAATCAATGCTGCTACTGCTTACGCTCTGCATATTTATCAGGTGCCTATTCACTTTCTATCCGTGATTGGGATGATATGAAGGGAGACCATGTCAAACATTATAAAATTCGCAAACTTGACAATGGCGGATACTATATCACCACCCGGGCCCAGTTTGAAACCCTTCAGCAGCTTGTACAGCATTACTCAGGTAACCTTAACTCTGACTATGTATTAGCGGTTTAAATGCTAGAGGGATAGTTAGGCACAGAGCTCCAAAACAGAAGGGAAACGGAGGAGGGGTATATAAAGTCTAGTCAAATCGGGGTTTTTTTGTTTTGTTTTGCCAGCCCCTGACAGTGGAGCGTGACTGAATGTCCCTACTGCGGCTCTGCCAATTCTTAGGAGTCCCGTATGGTTGTCAGAAGATTGTATAACATTCTGGTTCTCCCAAGTAGAAAGCAGTCCATTAAATCTTTAAAGTTGTTTGTATTTTTCATCTCCACCCTAAAATCCTTGCCAGTTACCTTTTCCCACTCCCCTTCCTGCAAAAGGAAGAAGGAAGGGTCAGTGGGAAGATACTTCCATGGGGACTGCTTCGGGTAGCAGTGGGTCCCTGCCGTCACCTCACACCCGGGACAGCTGAGTCTGCATTTCGTGCCGGTGACAGGGTTGTCAATCCATTGGTCAGGTTCTGCTTCCCCACCGGTACTTCCGTTTCCTAACTAGAGTTGGACTTATGTGACCTGTACCCCTTTCATGTATTATAACTGTCATGTTGAACTTTTTAAAGGTAGACTAGTCTCTGTCCCAATAAGCACATGTCAATATTATTCTCTTATTTGCAAACAAAATTATCAGGTGAATACGTATGCAGCTTGTACCTTTTATTAAAGAGTGTGGTCTTACGTAAAATTGCTCAATTGCTTGCTTTCTCTCCTTGGTTCGCTTCCAACTATACAGTACATATCCACCCATGAATATAGATACAGGTACACATACGCAGATGCAGGTCTATATCGCATTAAGCCCAGGAGGTTTTTGTGTGACCCATGTGTTTGGCATTGTTCCACCCAGCAATGGCACAAAGCCAGAATCGTATCATTTTTACCTCTGCTGTTGCTGTGCACATTCACTGAAAAATACATGTGGGAGGTTTTTTAGTATTTAAAAAAAAAAAGCAGTCTTTTGAAAACAATAAGAAATGCCTGTATACTGATCCTGCTCGCTAATGAGCAATCAAATACATAGCAGTACTTGATACTGGTTGGTGCAGGCATCGGCTGTCTTGGTTTATGTGATGCTAATGAAATAGTTGACAGAAATGGAGCTGAGTATCTCCTTCAGATCAAATGATATACTGAAAATGTCTGCATGTTGTAAGGATTTTTCAGATGCTGAAATACATTTCATTATAGCCAAACATCAGCAGGATCCCCGGGGTTTGGATTATTTGAAAATATTGTGTTGAAAAGGGCACAATATTGTGTTCCTAAAGCTGGAAGGAGAGAAGGGATATGAAGAACAACAGATATTTTTTAATCTCAGGGGGAAAAAGCCATCTCAAGTTACATTTGTTTTTATGTTGGCTTTTCCTCTTCCCTCTTTTTCTTTTGTCCAGAAAATGGCTTTGAAATTTTGGCACATAAATAATTTCCTGCCTAAACATCTCAGAACCTGATTCCCTCAGAAAGAGAGACAGAGACAGAGACAGAGACAGAGAGAGACAGTTCCGAGAGATGAGGCAACAGTGCCATGTTTGATTTGCCTGGATCTGAGGATTTCCAGAGAGTGGGGTCTCTCTCCACCTGCAAGCTAGACTCTGTGCTGTTTTTGTCGCTTCCCTGAATTCTTACTATTCATTACCACCTCTCATCTGATTTTAAACTTGATGTTTAGTCAATTTCCCCTTACTATTGCTAGATCCTAAAAGGTATATTCTTTTAGAAAAGAAAGGAAGGGGGGAAGCCTCCCAGTAACCTTTTGAGTGATAACTACTGTTTTCCTTTCTATTTCAACATCATTGAACTTCTTTGAATGTTAGTTTCCATTCTTTCGCCTTTCAATCCAGACTCCTAAATTACATATAGGAGAGTGTTATAAAGGTATTTTTTTTTAAATAGAAAGTCACAAAAAAGCAGTACAAGCATGTCTCACTGGTAGAATGAAGTCAGAATGCCAAAGAAATCTCCAGAGAAATGTGACATTTTCCCCTCCAGGTCTAATCTTCAACCTTACTCATTCATAACATTCCATTCTATGAAAGAATCCTGTACTGAAGTTGCAGATTGAAACATTCATACCAGAGAGATCCCCATTTCCCTAGGATATCCAGTTACCAGAGGGAGAAAAGGACAGTCACGCTGACATGCTTTAGTCCAAATGCACTTTTTGAAATCACTAAAGGCGTTTTTAGCATTCCAAAAGACATGTCATTGGTACCTTGGCTGAAAACAGTTTTCTTCCTTAGTGAGTGCAGAAATCAAAACAGTCTGTATCTGTGCATAGACCACGTACACCTGGTGACACAGAGTAGTCCTAAGTTGAAATGCCCCCATCCCACTTCTAGTGAATGTGTTTCACCGTGTGGTGTCTAATCTGGGTGTGGACACAGGCTGCGCAGGTATGCTGTGCACCGGGGGGTGTGGGTTTGCACTTGTGCATGTTGTTGTTACATGTATTCTGCTCTTTTCTCCTCTCCTGCTGCTGCCCCTGCTCCATCAGAGAGAGCCGCAGGTCTCTGCTGCCGCCTAGTAGTCCCCTGTCACAAAGGGATGCCAAGGCTTACCGATCTGTCTGTCAAAACCAAAGATGTCTGGGAAATCCCTCGAGAATCCCTGCAGTTGATCAAGAGACTGGGAAATGGGCAGTTTGGGGAAGTATGGATGGGTATGCTGAGACTCAGTTACTCTATTATTAGCTTCCTGGTTTGGAAATCCCAAACATCAAAGATGGAAGGTGACAATAGAGATTTTATGACCTGGAAGAAAGTTCGAATTACTCTAAATGGGGAATAATGATTTTGATTCAAAATGCTACAATTTCTAGAGAAAAAAAGAGATAAGTTGGATTGGCAGAACACCAAGGTGGTGGTGCTATTACATGAGCCTCAGTTCATAAACCAATGCAATGGTAGGAGGTGAGCTCCAGCCTACAAAACGTGCCTTGCCTCTGTTTCCAGTGACAAATATTTGTTGAAAGTCACCCTGTAGGGCAAGTCACCTTCCATCTTTCCTAGTGCATGCAAGATTATGGATTATAAGGACTGTGTTTTCTTTATTAATTCCCTTTCCTGTAGAGAAAGCTGATGGTTTGTGTTTTAACTTAACTGTGATTTCATCGAGTTGTGCCCCACAAACTTCTGGATTGGCTAAAGATGCGTGGGAAGTTGCACGTGATTCGTTGTTTCTGGAGAAGAAGCTGGGGCAGGGGTGTTTCGCTGAAGTGTGGCTTGGTAAGGCAGAGGGCACATTTTGTTTTGGCTGCATCTCAAAGCCAATCAAAAGGACAGTTTTGAACAAAAATACACACATAACCATTAGGACAAAGACATTTAACCTGGATAAATAGATGGCTACAGGCAATCCATATTTTCAGAATGTGGTGATACCTGGCTGTGTTCAGCCTTTCTACTCCATGTGGTCAATTAAGCACCTGCCCAGCTAGAAACCAATACACTATGGATGTGGTATTTTCCTAAGAAATGGGAAGGTAAGATGCTATATATGGGCCGCAGTAAAACCATGGGTTTTTTTGCTCACTAGGCCTGTTTTGAAACCTGCTGAGCTGATTATCCATTAATAAGAGGCTTTTTTAATATCTTTGAACCTCAGTTCTCTCATCTGTAAATTGAACTGGTACCTCCTTCCTAGGATTGTTTTCAGGATTATATGGGATAATATGTTTAAGGTCCCTTCTAAAGAGTAGGTGGTCCCTTGGAATTGCTTTTGTAATCACTTTGGGTCAGTTCTAGTTTTGCTTAGAAGCAATAAGTGGAATTAAGCCCTACCCAAAGATGTTTGTCAATAAAACAATACTAAAGCCTTCTTCAGGTCTAATAAAAACAACATAAATAGGTGTAGAGGTCTTTCTGTAAAAGACGGCGTAACAAGCCGTAAGTACTGTACAGATATATGTACATAGATATGTACATAGTTTGATAGAAGCCTTAATAGACAGAATACAGAAATATACTCAGATACACACATAGATAAACATGCATTCACTGTTATAGTAAATTCAGATTACTGTGTCCTTCACTGGACTTCCAGTATTGTAAGAAATATTTCTATTTTCTTCCCCGTTATTTACGCAATTCATAATTGAAGTTGTGGATTCCAAGGATTTTAATCAAAGCATTCACACAGTCAGGGAGAATTGGACCCTATAAGAAAATTTATTTTCAAACTTTTAATTATCAATTTTAAATCATTACCCAGACAGCTAAAATTTTGTTTCCCGTGATATGTAAAACAACACACCACCAAAATCAGAATGGATGTCTGTAATTACCCAGGTTACTGTTTGAGAGGATCTCACAGTACTTAAATTTTGGGATTGCTGAGACTCCAGTCATAAAGATCCACTTACACATTGTCAAATTTCCCATTTACTCTTAGAGGCAGGTACTTTATGGTATTTAAACCACTGGTTCTTCCACAATTTATATTTTTGTAGGTTGCATGTAGTTGTAGGAACCACATTTTTAACAGAATAATAAAAATTGCTCCAATTTATAGAATTCTTAGATCCTAAAGTCATAAGTTAAATATAAAAATGAATCTTAATTTATATTAGTCTTCTCTTTTCTTTTCCCTCTATAAAATTATCCTTCAGAGCTAGGTATAGTGGCACATTCATGTCATCCCAGCACTCAGGCGGCTCAGGCTGGAGGACTGCCATGAGTTGAAGGCCAGCCTGGACTAGATAGTGAGTTCAAGGTCAGCCTGAACTGCATAGCAAGACCTTGTCTCAAAAAACAGTAAAAAGACAATAAAACTATCTTTCAAGTTAGAGGACTAACGGTAGAATCCACATAAAACCCAGTGTTTTGTTATGTTTTGTTTTAATTTAGGAGCTTAAAGAGATTCAACAGACAATCCAATCCCATTCCTGTATTTAACAGATGATATAACTGACCATGATCATAAACTACCCCTTGCCTTTGGAACAGCTAGATTTTTTCACATGGGAAGTTTTAAACAGCTCTGTTTCTTGAGCCAGGGATTTAGCTCAGTGGTGCTGCTGCCTGCCTCGCAAGCACAAAGACCCGAGTTCAATCCCTGGAACCAAAAAAACATTAGTTTCTCCTTAGCTGCCAGTTCACCTGATAGGAGCCATTGCTCTTATCATGGCTGATCATTAATGAACCTGAGGCGCGTGCCTGGCTTGGGGGAAGGATTGGCAAGGAGCTGTGAGCCCTTGCTAGTGCTTATCTGCATGCTTACTTAGCTGAACTGCTCAAGGTCTCGGTCAAGTAGCCCATCCACTGCAGACAGCTGAAAGCCTAGTCAGTTTCAGTGTTCCCCTAATGTCTTGAACACTGTAACCCACAAAATGAAACTTTGTCTAATTTTATCTACACTCACGCCATGATCCAGGGAATGGCTATTGGATTGTCAGGACTGTTCTAAACCCTGGACATTCTGCATTGTTAAACAAGGGGTCCAGTATTTTTTATGTAAATTTGTAAGCATATGGCTGAGCCAGACAGGCACAGACAGATAAAAATTGAAAAAAAAAAAGTAAATAATACAGCCATAGCCATAAGTAAATTCACTTTCCCTAATGAAATACTTGACAGAGTCCTTACAAATTGACTGTCTTTGCTCACAAAAACTAAATTAAGTGTTTAAAACTTAAAATCTGGCTTTAGCTATTAGTCTGAGTTCTTGTTCCCACCAAAACAGGATCTATGGTTTGACTTAATATTGTGGGATGTTTGTAGGTACCTGGAATGGAAACACAAAAGTAGCCATAAAGACTCTTAAACCAGGCACAATGTCCCCTGAATCGTTCCTGGAGGAAGCACAGATCATGAAGAAGCTGAAGCATGACAAGTTGGTCCAGCTGTATGCGGTGGTGTCTGAAGAGCCCATCTACATTGTCACCGAGTACATGAATAAAGGTCGGGTGATTCTTCTCCTGTCTCCACCCTACACTGACTGAGGGGCTGTTTCAGGAAGAGAAATCCAGCTGCCTGCTTGCTTTTGTCCCTAGTTTCTGCAGGAGTCTGACATTCCCATCAGTCATGAGCACGCTTTTAAAACAGACTAACCTTGGCTTGATCCCCAACCCTTGTGAAATGCAGTGCCATTGCATGTTGCGTGTGTCAGGAATTCAAGTTTCTTTCCATAATTACAACATTCACTTTAATATTAGGGGTTGATACAGAGGCTTTGATTATTTGCTTTGACTTGGGACGCAGTGACTTCTGTTAAAATTTCCTTTTTATAGAGCTAAACAATATCAGCTACTGATTTCTGGACTAAGTTTAGTCTCCATCGTTTCAACATCTTCGGGTTATATCAGATCTTCATCTGATGTATATTTTAGTTGTGTGTGTGTGTGTGTGTCTGTCTGTCTGTCTGTCTTTATAATCAAACCAGCATTGTGAGGCTAAGGCCAGAGATCACTTTGTTTTGGAAAAATAGATGAACAAAACAAGAAACAGCCTTAAAAGGTAATGTATTGTACATCAGAAGACACCAGTGTTTTTTGCTTTGCCATGTACTTTCTTATAAAATGTAATTGGAACTTTTCCCTGGCATATTGTTTGTCCTTTGTATCCAGGGTTATTTTGTAAATAACTTTATGATTAAAGCATTAAAAAAATCATTGATGGCCATCATGAACCTCCAGCTTCTGCAAATGATTATTTCTGTGTTACTTCTGAGCCTGCTTGGGCTCCCTTGCGACACTGGCTCTGATGCTCCAGCTGTTTTGTTTCAGAGGTCTGATTTAAGGCTTGGCTGGCTGTGTTCTAGTTAGAGGGAGCTGCCTGCCCCACACATATTCCTCACATATCCTTTTCTTGACTTAAAATCTGTAGGTAAGCTAGGGTGGTAATTCTCAACCTCACATTGTGCAAGAATCACCAGGAGGGCTTCTTAAAACACAGGCTTCCGGCTGGGGATTTAGTTCAGTAGCACGCCTGCTTTGCAAACTCAAGGTCCTGAGTTCAATCCCCAGTACCAAAAAAATAAAAAATAAAAACACAGGCTTCTGAGCCCAACCTCCAGACTTTCTGGCTCAGTAGGCCTGGGTGTGCCTGAGAATGTGAGTTTCCAGCAAGCCTGCTGGTTATGTTGCTGCCAGCCCCAGCCCAGGACCACATTTTTGGACCATTCAACTGGACTGAATTTTCCCTATATCATTTCCTTTGTGCAGTTCTGACTGGGGAATGAGCTTCAAGTAGTACAGATCCCCACATGCTCCTTGTGAGATAAAGGATATTGAGTTTAATTTCGTCTACTTTTGTCGGGTTTTTTTGTTATCTTCAGAAATGAAATCAATACTGTTTATTTTCAAAAGATAAAACTTGCCTTGCAGTGCATAGAATTTTTTTGGCCCTAGTTCCCTATATAAACCCTTTTTTTGATAGTATTATTCCATTCAACTATCTTTCACTTATAGTAAAAAAACCAAATACAGCCTTCTGTTGGGGATTTTTATCTTTCAAAGTAAATTGAAATGGTTTTATGTTTTGTTCATAGGAAGTTTACTTGATTTCTTGAAAGATGGTGAAGGAAGAGCTCTGAAATTACCAAATCTTGTGGATATGGCAGCACAGGTAGGGCCCAGTGGTATCTGATTCGCGCCACGGATGTAACAGCATCACAGCGCCTCGGGCCGTGGTGTAATGGGTGTCCCTCTCTCCTGACTTCCACAGGTTGCTGCAGGAATGGCTTACATTGAGCGCATGAATTATATCCACAGAGACCTGCGATCAGCAAACATCCTAGTGGGGAATGGACTAATTTGCAAGATAGCTGACTTTGGATTGGCCCGGTTAATTGAAGACAATGAGTACACAGCAAGACAAGGTGAGCACTGGAATGGCGATGTCTCAGGATAGCATCTTTGCAAATAGTGTATCTATTTATTGCATAAGTCTTTCCCCCTTCCTTTTCCTTCCTAGAGAAAATATTTGAAATGTCATTCTTTTGCTGGGTTGTTTTGTTTTTTTTTCCTTTTTGATCTGGCAGGAGTTTGACATCTCTGCAGGTGGAAGACTGCAGTGTGCTTAGCAGATGGATGAGGTATTTACTGTGTTTCAGTGAGTGCTGTCCACTCCTATGGTCCTTCTGCTCATGCCACCCTCCTCACAGAATCCAGACCCAAGGTAATCTGCTTCTGAACAAAGAGGGCTATGGAAAGCCAAGGGATAAGTCAAGTTCAAGCTCAGTGCTCACACAAAGTCCCGGGAGAGAACAGAAGGCACACTCAAAATGGAGGTGTTCATGGAGGGGCCTCTACAAAAGCACAGGCAAGGTTTAGGGAAACAGCGGGTCATGGTACAGTGACTCAGAGCTAGTGAAGCAACAGAGCCAGAGCCTGAATGGTAAAGGGCAGGGATGGAGAGCAGAAGTGAGAGCAAGAAGGCCTCCTGGTAGAGAAGAGGTGAGATGCGGGGACGCATTTGAGATTAATCCAGATCTCACTCTCCTGCCAGCTTCTGGGCCTCCTGCCAGGCCCAGCCAGAAGCCAGAGGTCAGAAGAGCCTGTTGGTGAATTTTCATGGGTCCAGGCGGGAAAGAAGGGTAGAAGGTCTGTGGATAGAAACCGTGAAGTCCCTCAGAAAGCCCCACCCTCCAGCATCTTCTGCCTCACCTCTGCAGAAACTCATAGAAGTAAAACACAGCCCAACCTAGCAGCTACTCCAGGAAGGCAGCAGTGGGGGTACAGTGAGAGCACCAGATGCCAGGAAGGAATTCCCGGGGGCATCTTCTGTCTTCTCGGATCCTCCCAAAGTAGGAATTAAGTAGGAAAGCTGTAAGTATAGGCTCCTATGTGGATTATAATGTCAGGAACGGGGGAAAAGGGGGAAGCTTTCATGGTTGTTGTTAACTGACGTCTCATCATTCCAAGCAAAGCTGAGCATTGGCTGGAACACGGGACAGGGTAGTAGTGCTTTCTGCAGAATTTTATAAGGGCCATCTCTGGAATTCTTTTCCTTCTCCTCTCTCTTCTGATTCTTCATTTTATGCCAGTTCTTTCCTCCTGTTATTAGACTCTAAGAATAGAAACATTCTTAACAGTTTCAAGTCTTGAGGAAAAATGTTAAACTGAGACCCTGGCTGGTACAGATACCAGCCAAATGCTCGATAACATGTTGGTCAGACAGCTCAGCTATTTGAATTTCCCCAACACGTGGCAGCTCTTGTCCTGGAGCCAAATGCCCGCGCAGTGAGCACATACACGCGCGCAGATCCAGATGGCTGCCGAACCGCTAATCGAAGGCACCCAGCAGTCTTGATTGGCACGGCAGTGCAGAGGGGAGTGTGGACCTGACTTTGAGGCAAGGTGAACCAAGGGTGTCTAAGTGACCATGGTCTGAGCCCCAGCCTTTGTGACCCCCTCAGAGCTGGTAAGAGAGCAGGCCAACAACATTGTGAGACTTAAACGTTCGGTTTAGGAAGGGCTGACGTGGAAACAGACAAGCTTTCTTCTGTGTGTGAGTCCCAGTTGCAGAGGTACAGTTCAGGATTCCTTTCTTCTCATTGACCAGACTCGGAACTCTGGAGCTGATGGTTGATTCCCTTGAACCATTAATAAAGAGAAGGTTATGAGGCCAGAAGCCAGCACATGCTGGGTGGATGTGCTCATGAGCCCTGGGATTCAGCTTCACATCATTCGCTGGGGAGGCCCCTGGGAGCCCTGGATGAATAGTGATCCCCAGACTCCGCCCTCAGCCCTGACCACTCAGCCTCCTCCCCCATTCTCCTGATGGTTTTTCAGGTGTCCCCACCTCCACCATGCCCCCGGGCTGCCTGACCTCCTCTCCGAGGGTCAGCCCCTCACCCTTTGCTCCACTTTTGCTTTATTTAATTTCCCATCAGAAGACCCCAGCTTTCCCTGCTGGAATGTTTTTTCTTTATTTCTTTCCTTTCCCAAGCATCTTTAAATGCATGCCAAACACTGGAAAGACATAAGTGAGGAAAAATAAATGAATTTATAGGGAATTGAGCTGGGGGGTGAGAGGAACAAAGCTTGTAGAGCCCCCAGGATTTCCAAAAAGAATAAAAGAAATACTGTCCTACAACAGAGGGAAAGAAAGGGGCAGGGGCACCTGTGAAATAGCTCCAAGTACCTAGCCTGCGAGAGGAGAAGAATGGATGGGGAGTAAAACAATAGAAACAGACTCAGAGGGGTTAAGTCACTTGTACAGAGTCACACAGTAGGAAAACAGCAGCCAGAATTTGAATCTGAATCTAGTTTGAAGAATCGCTTACCTTCTTGCATTTACCCTCTTAAACTATGCTCACTGCCTTTCATCAAGACAATGATTAAAAGAACAGAAAGTGAAACGGAAAGGGTTCGACTAAGTCCCTTTTTCTCTTTTATGGGAGAGTTTTAAGGAACCCCGTCTGACTTGCATGTGAGGGCAGTTTTCATTTTCCATTGCGGGGACAACCGAGCTGCTTATAAAATTCATCTCAGGGACCCACCCCGCCCCATCTCTTCAGGAGGCAGAAAGGGCCTCGCGTGTATCTGCTGGTATATTCTGCAGATGGCATGCATGCTGCATGCTGAAGTTTCTGCTGGGGATTAATCAGCTCCTCCAGACAGCTGGTCCGTGTGCCTAATATTTGCAAGTTGGGTTTTATGTTACCCGCAGGCCACAGCCATACTGCATCTTGATTATGGAAGTGTAGGCAGTGTTCAGAAATTTGTGCCAAACGCAGATATTTTAGGACCATAAATGACAGTTGTTTGCAAAACAGTTGTGAGTTTCCCATCTCAGGGTGCAGTGAAATGTCTGTCACCCTGTCTGAGCGCGGAGGTCTGATAGCACACAGTAGAAGCATGGTTAGGGTTTGGAGCTGCGTGGCATGTGTGTCCTTTCCTCCTGCCACCCCCTGCCCACTCTTGTACTGTGAGCCGAAGCCCTGTGTTCAGGAAGAGGTCGAGACCAGACCGTGTGCCTGTGGGGGTGGTCCTCCACTGACAGCATTCTGGAGAGCACTAGAAATGATTTGAAATTGCTCATTCTCCACTGCGTGGGCATCTCACTCGATTAGAACAAATAATCCTTACTCGTAAAACTTTGGCTGAAGTCTGCCCATTTAGGATCTCAAAATAATGCTAAAAATACCAGTTATTATTACAGTGCCCTGTCAGTGAAAGGGACTTTGCTAAGAGTTGCTGGTATAAAGAAGCTAGGCCACATACGGTGGCCTATGCCTGAGTTGCAGCTACTAGGAGGGTGGGTGGGCAGACTATTTGAGTTCACGAGCTTGAGACCAGCCTAGGCAACGTAAGGAGAAATACATAAATGACTTTTAAATATATATGAAGAAGAGTTAGCAGCCTGTGACCAGGCCAGGGGCCGTCGGTAGGCATGAGGAGGATCACTTAGGAGCCCAGAAGTCACACAGAGGGTTTGAAACCCAACCCTTCCCATCTATTGACCTGGATCTTTGGGCAAGTTATTTAATTTTTCCACATGTAACCTGTAAAATATAAATGCATCTCACCTGCTTTGTGCATTTTTTTCAAAGGTTAAGTGAAATAATTTGTGTAGTGTTCAGCCCAGTGCCCAGTATAGAGCAGTAAGTAAATGTTACTTCTTATTATTATTTTATCCTACATAAGACTAGGATACTGAGAATAAACAATTGAAAAAATGGGTTGTAGGTGCCATGGAAAAGCTCAAACACTATTGATGCAAAGGAAAGAGTCACCAAAGGCAGTTCCCAGGTAGTCAAATGTGAACAGTTGTAAGAATGGAGTTATTACCAACAGAAGCAAATGGTTCAGGAAGAAGCATTTTCTTTCAGAAAGGGAGGATGGGGATTTGGGATTGGTTGAGCTTGAGGCAGCTGCAGTGGTTCATCAAAAAACAGAAGGTTGCCACCTGCCTCACAAGCACAAGGTCCCACTCTCGATGCTTGGTACAAAAAAAAAAAAAACGATCAGCCAAGTGTCCTCACCTGATGCCATGGCCACAGCTGTGCCCTGCACCCCATCTCCCCCCTCCTTTGTCAACTGCCCTGTCCCCCAGAGTGTCTTCATAGCCAACTCCCAGCCAATGCCCCCAGACCCTTCCAGAGCTAATCGCAGCCCCTGCCTGGGCTACAGGCGCCTGAAGATCTGTGCCTATGCTGTCATCCTCACACTGCACTGCTGTGTGTAACTGACCTCTGGTGACCAGCAGCATCCTGTTCCAGGGACTCACAGCCCCTCCAGCCACCAGCTCCTCCATACAGCAGATGAGAAGCAGAGCGAGAATTCTCTTCTGCCTTGCTGTGTGTTCATAAACTTTCAGGAAGCTTGGTGCTGATTTCATCCTAATCGGTTCAGATAGCCCTGACAAGTGTAAGAATGCTATAACTTGCTTTTGTGAACACTGTCATTTTTGTTTTGAGCCATAACATTCACACAGTAAAGTAAGCCAGTCAGGGATGTTTATAGACATGTATGCACCAGAAACCATCCCACAAAGGAAGATTCGTGTTGGAAGACCTGCCAGTCCCAGTCCCAGTCAGTCAGTGTCACCCTGCTTGGCTCCTTTCCCTTTAGCATGCATGTGTGGGAGCCTCGTCCATTTGCTGTGTGTAACCATCATTCTTTCGTTCTCCTGGCTGAGTGGTATTCCAGTGTTGTAGCTACATCGCAGTTCACCCATTCTGCTGTCCGTGAGCAGTGGGGAATTTTCAGCCTTGGGACCTTTATGACAGAGTTGCTGTGGAGGCGGAAGTGTGTCCTCATGTATCCAGGGTACGTTCCCAAGAGTGGAAGAGCTAGTTACATGCAAGGCTGAGCCAGGCAGTTGTCAGTGCTGCCTCACAGATTTGGTGGATATGACTCTAAAGGAGAATAT